CTCTACCACTGAGCCACCTTCCCAGCATCCAAGGCTGGCTTTGAACTGCGATCCTCAGATCTCAGCCTCCTGAGTAGCTAGGATTAGAGGTGTGAGCCACCAGCACCTAGCCAGAATATTTTTTTGAAACAACAGCTCAAAAGAAAAAAAAAAAAGGACAAGGATCTCAAATAATAGAGCACTAGCCTTGAGCCAAAAAAAAAAAGCTCAGGGACAAAGGACAGTGTCCAGATCTGAGTTCAAGCCTCAGGACCTGCACCCAAAACAAAACAAAACAAACAAAAACACAAAAACAAAAAGGGGGGAAGCTGAGTGGGAGGAGGGAGGGGAGATGGGGAAAAAAAAAACAAAAACAAAAGGAAAGTTCTTCAGTTTCTATGTGGAGTCACAACTATATTCAAGGCTAGATATGGTAATGCTCACCAGTAATCCTAGGGGGAAAGTAGAAAATCAGTGAACATTGAGCAGATTTTCCAGCTGTGCAAGACATTACCAAGACCTCATCTCAACCAACAAGCCTAACTAACCAGCAAGTTCATTATCTCTATACTATTTATCTTCTTATGGTTCTATAAATAGGCTCAAAATATCATCTTTGTTTTTGAATATTAATGTTCTAATTGGTTAAATATAATTTTATCATTTTACTATAATAAATTCTGTATCTGTTTATAAATGTTTGCAGATCGAAATCATGGGTATCTTACTTCAAGTTCAGAACTACATCATTACTTTCTTAAGTCATTTATTCACAATTAACTTATTGAATGACCAAATATGGTAATATCACATACTTCGGACACAGTTGTACTTAGGATGCAAGTACTAATTGAGGCATGCACTCTATAGATCCCAAGTTACCACCAAACTTGTCCAGTGACAGAGAAGACAAGGAGACAAAGTAGAAGGATTTAACCTGATGTCACATTATTTAAAATACCAAAATTTGGAAGAGATCGTACAACATAAATTATATGCTTCTAGGCAATATTTTAAGACAGAATCTACTCTATGTTACATAATAGCATATATGAACAAATAAAGTTTTTAATGCAGACCTTAACAGAACTTCTAATAAAATACAGCATGTAATTTTTTAGTTTGGTTTGATGGCTATTTTTGAGACACACAACTATAGGGTACAATGTTGTTCACTATTATTGATAGGAACAATTAATTTTTGAGTATTTTTAAATATTTTAATTAATTTTATGAATATTTAAAAATCATTATTATTTTTATTTTAAACTACATAAAATCTATATCCTTTTGCTCTAAGGAGAAGGGGTTATCATCTACCAAGGGATAAAATGTATATAAGCCTATTATAGGATAGGCTTATCACAGTGGGAACTCCCCAAATTACAAACCACTTCATTTATAATTGAACACCTTCTCTCCTCAAAAACTTGCCAGTATAACAGATTTTTTGACTCTTAAAGATTAGGAGTTTGTTTTTTTTAATGTGCTGCTTTTAGAATCCATGATATTTTCATAACAGGACACAAAGGAAGTTCTGTATCCTCAGCAATGGACTATAAACTACATCTTTACTCCTCATTAGAAACTAACAAACCAGCATGACTCACAGTCTCCTGTGGGGGCTCCAAGCTACTCTCTGAGGCACCTTCAGAGGAGGCCACCCTGGAATATGGAACACTGAGAGCAGCACCTAAAAAGAAAAACAAAAATACAGTCCCAAAAGAAGTCAGAATTCCTATCAGAAAATAAGGAACTGACTTTGAAAACTGTTCTTACAAGTCCTTTGTTTTTCCGTATTGAAAATTCAGTCCATCTTAACACACAACAAACATTTGTGGGATTTTATGTGTAGCAACCTTATGCCAAGTTTTATGCTAGATGCTGGGGATTCAAACAAAATGTCTATACCTATGGGACTATACAACAAAGGGTAGAAAGGGATACTGTCCATGATTTGACAATCATTGAAACTTGACTATATCATGCTATTCGGTTTTCTATATGTTTGAAATTTCTAAAACTAAAAAGGTTGTATTTCTTGAATTAAAAATAAAGGACATAGGCTAGAAGTGGAGTTCAATGGTAGAGTGCTTCCCTAGCATGCATGAGGCCTTGAGTTCTATCACCAACAATTCAGGAAGGAAGGAAGGAAGAAGAAAAAGAGAAAAAGAGAATTACCATCAATTTACAAGAAATACACAGGTAAAAAGAACATGTTCAACTATACACAAAATGCTTTCAGAAAAGTCCTTACTCTGGGAAACTAGAGGACAAATGACAAGTAGAGGAGCTAGAAAGTTTCTTTTTTATTTATTTTATTTATTTTTTTTTTGCTGGTCGTAGGGCTTGAACTCAGGGCCTGTGCACTGTCCCTGAGTCTCTTTGTGTTCAAGGCTAGCACTCTACTACTTGAGCACAGCACCACTTCTGGCCTTTTCTGAGTAGTTTATTGGAGATAAGAGTCTCACAGACTTTCCTGCCTAGGCAGGCTTAGAACCAGGATCCTCAGATCTCAGCCTTCTGAGTAGCTAATATTACAAGTGTGAGCCACCAGTGCCTCGCTGAAAGTTTCTACCTTTTAACAGAGTATTTGCTATAAAATAATTTATTATACCATACTTTTGTCTTAAGTTGTGGTCCACTCTATATTAAACTAACAGAGTTTTAAGTATCCCAACATAATATCATAACATCATAAAGCAAGTGAAAAAGCAATTACTTTTTCTTGAGACTGATGAATAAGAGAGAGAAACTTGGTATGTGAAAATTTTGAACATAAAGAACCTTAAAAGAAAAGTGAATAAAGACACAGGAGCATACCTATCAATGTTGAGGTATCATCAGCAGGAACTGGAGATGACAATTCAGAGCTAGAAAATAATGTTTACAGTTTAAAAATAATAAAAACATAAAGGTTTACTGTGAGTTCTGGGTGTTGTTTTCCAAAAGAAAACCATTACATCAATAAGTAAGCATTCTGAAGCCAAAGTACCAAATAACACAGTTTATAAAAGTTCTTTCATTAATTCATTTATTGAGTGCCCCACCTTAAGTATTTTCCCAGATACATCTCATCACTGATTTTCTTGCTTTTCAGTTCAAATTACTATATGAAATTATTCTTATTCATTTACTAACTTTGTCTCTGTCTCCAATCTCTTAATCTGGTAAATAGGTACTATCAATATGACATCCACTGCACATATGTAATAATTTGAATTATCTAAAATTAAGCAGCTAAAAATTCAGTTCTTTATTAATATGAGCTGCATTACAAGTATTCAATGACCACATATGGGTAATGGCCATCACATTGGACAAGACAGTGAAGAACATTTTCATCATCATAGAAAGCTCTGTTGAACAGCACTGCATTGATCATTTTGTTTGCAGTCGTGGGGCCTGAACTCTGGACCTGGGCAAAGTCCCTGAGCTCTTCAGCTCAAGGCTAGTGCTCTACCACTTGAGCCACAGCACCACTTCCGGCTTTTTCTGCTTATGTGGTGCTAAGGAATCGAACCCAGGGCCTCATGCATGCAAGGCAAGCACTCTACCACTAAGACACCATGAATTGATAATTTAAACATTAGGATGACAATACAGCTCCCTGGTAGAATATTTTCTGGATGCTCCTATATATTATAATAACATAAAAATGAATTTCAACTCTATGAGGGCTCAGGATATTAATTCGGTAGAAAAATGATTGCCTAGCATCTGTAAAGTCCTAGATTCAATCCCTAGACAAACACACACACACACACACATGCACGCACGCACGCATGCATGCACGCATGCACATATACACACAGCCCACAAAATAATAAAAAATAAACTCCAATACATAGGGAACCTTTCCTGCCATATATCTATTATACTTCAAGAATTTAAAAAGAAAAAGCACTTTCTACTTAGTAACCGCTATGTTTTTGAAAACAAACGAATACATGAATGAATACTATATGCCAAGCAATATAAAAGGCTCTTGACACATAGCTATAAGCAAAACACATATGGTCCATGAAAGTCATAGCTTCATAGAAAATACAGATCCCATAAAAATGGTTATAAATGGAACAATTAGTACAGATAGAAAAATATTAGTTGGAGATGCAATCATATAACGAATCTATTCTCACTTGAAAGATCATCATTATCGTATTATTCTATGTAAAGAAAGTCAAAGCTGGGAGAAATTACTTGCTGTAGGCCATATTGCTAACAGATTTCAGGTCTCCTCATTGACCTTGCCATGCTGCAACTACAAGCAAAGGTCAGAAGATACTCTTGAGAAAGCCCCTGCTTAAAGATAAGAAAACAGATACCCACATGTCCAAACTTCCAAAGGTAAACCAAAGGTATGAGAGTTAAATTATAGTAACTTGGGAACATTTCAGAACCTCAAACTTTCTATATGTGTCCTAAGGAGAAAGAATTGTCCATTAACTTTTTCCAAAAGTGTTGGTCAATGGTGACTGATTTTAACTCAGCAATTGAAAACTCTCTCCAATGTCTCACAAATCAAATACCTAAAGTGACTTGATCCCAGTCAAAAATGTCTCACAGATATGCTCAGGTGCCAATAGGTTCTATGTTCAGAACCACTTCTTTAGATACCTCGCTGCTCTAAGCTTAAATGAGATATGTTAAGCCATCAAATAGATACAAATAGCATATATATGTATATATATATCACTGCATTGGTAATTTATACATATTTATGTAATTTATATATATAAAACATTGTGTGTGTGTGTGTGTGTGTGTGTGTGTGTGTGTGTGTGTGTGTGTGTGTGTGCGCGCGTCC